TCCTCGTTTTTTACAATTATCACCTGTGCACCTAAAAACATTCTTGTCTGTCTTCTGGTGTATACGCAAAGCTTCTCTTCAGTATCTATCTTAGAAGAAAACTGCTGAATTAATAAGGTGAATGAAATGCTCAGGTTTATCAGACAATGCAAAACTGCTTCCCCAGATAGCTGTATCAATTTAACATTGCCATCTGAAATTATTGAAGAGATTATGTTGATCTACTGTCTCTCAAATACTTGAAACTATCAAATTTCTTAATTTTGCCAAGTAAATATAAAGTATTTTCTCATGATAGTTTTAACTTGCATTTCCTAATTATTATTAAAACAGAATACCTTTTTATTATACTTATTAGCTATATTAGCTTCCTCTCCCATGAAATGACTATCCACATACCTTTTGCCCATTTTTTTACTAGGTTCATCTTTTTCTTAAACTGATTCATAGGAATTTTATATGTTCTTCATACTAATCTTTAGTCAGTTATGTTCAAATTTTTCCCAGTTCCTAATGTCTTTTTACTTTCCTTAAAGCAACTTTTCATGAACAGAATTTAATCTAGTCATATTTTATCAATCTTTTCTTTTATAATTAGTGTTCTGCGTCTTATTTTAGAAACTGTATTTTACTCAAAGGTCTCAAGCATATGGACCTGGGAGAATGTAATCTTCAAGTATCAGAAGCTTTGAGGAATTCAGCTAAATACGAGAGGGTCATGTTAAATAATGACTTGCAAGCATAACAAGGGAATCCTAGCAAAACATCACTAATCTGTCCTTTTTGATAGAGCCAAAGAGGACCTAGAATAGACAGGGAGAACACCCTTCATCACAGGGATGACAAGAGTATTCAAAAGCAGTGTTGCTAAAAAGCCAAAGTACTAATAAAAGCATGTCTAAGAGGAAACCTAGAAATGAAAACCTACAAATTCTGCCTGGACAAGCGGTAACAGCACCAGGAAGGACAGTGGGCAAGGACACGTGATACCCCAAACGCTGAACTGTTAACAAGCAGGGAAAAGTGTTTCCTGACATGGTGGTTTCAAGCTCAAAGGAAAGTCAAATTTCACTTTCTGTCATATCCACTGTACTGGCTCTTCCTTCTTACTCTTTAAAGGCTGATGAATTGCTTAACTGGTGAAGTTAGTTTACATCATGCCTCTCACATCAATCTCCACATTTGCAATATAAATAGAATATATAACTAACACTAACCATTAAAGTATAAAACAAACAACAAACAAACAAAAAAACCCACTCTATTTGGGGGGAAATACCTGATCAGAATGATCAATCCTCTTCCCTGTTCAATGATGACAGAAAAAGAAAGCCAAAGTGAGTCTTAAATTTTTTTTTTTTTTCCACAGAAAAGGACACTAATAAAACTATAACGGGTCCGGATTATGACTGCCAGAAGCTAGACTTGGGGGAAGAATGTAAATACAGGAGAATAGCACAGGATAGTTTTGTAGGAATAATGGAACTATTCTATATCAAGACTGTGGTGGTAGTTACACAAAACTACAAATGTGTTCAAATTCACAGAACTGTACACCCCCAAAAAAGGGAATTTTACTGTATGATTTAAAAAACATTTTTAAAAAGGATATGTGCACAAATATTTATGGGAGCTTTATCTACAATCTTCAAAAACTGGAAACAACCCAGCTGTCCTTCAAAGAACGAATTGGTAAATCCATACAATGAAATGGTACTTAGTAATTAAAAAGAACAAAGAATTGATACATAAAACAACATAAATTGTAAAGATATCATGCTGAATGAAAGAAAACAGTCTTTAAAAATTCCACACTGCAATTTCATTATCTGACATTATGAAAAATGCCTTAGAGAGACAGAGAACAGATGAGTGAACTGGGAGAAAGGGGGAGGGGAACACCTGATTACAAAGCAGCAAAAGGGAATTTACAATTTTACTGTATGTAAATTTTGAAAAATAAACAAGTTTAAAAGGATATGGAAGAGAAAGAAGTTTCTAAAAATGATCATTATAGGAAGTAAAATAAGCTGTGAACAGTCATCTCTGCTCAATAAAATCAAGACAGATTCTGGATCAAAGGATTCAAGTAAGAAAACAATCAAGAGGCAGAAGTACAGTGGAACTTAATGTGACAGATAATGTAAGCAAACCAGCACTGTCACTCAAGAATTCAAAACCTCACAAATCAGAGAATCAACACAAAGCAAATCATTATCAATACAATGGAATTTCAAATTAGAGAAATTTTCCAAATGCAGAAAAAAAGTAACAAAGAACCAATGGCATTCAAGGACAAAGAAAGATTTGACATATTTATGACATTAGAAAAAAATAAAAACCTGGCCTATAGATAAAGGATTAAGGAAAATTATAATAGAAACCAATCTTATACACATTCTACATAGAGGTCCATAATACAAGAATAAAGAAAAATTTTCTATGTACACAGGCAGAAATAGCTATGTCCAAAGTGAGAAAATTTAGGCTGGCCTCAGACTCCTCTGTATTATAAAGGTATAAATATATATGTGATGTAAATATAAAACTATAAAGCAAAGTCTGAATGAAAAGACTATGACCCAAAAATTCTATAGCCAGGTAAGCTGTTGTTCACATAGCATGCAAAAAAACCCACATTTTTTTTTATTTATAATGGCTTAATATATTATCAAATAATTCTATCTAAAAAGTAACAAAGACTAGTAAAATAAATTAAGATTCAAAATAAATATGTCAAAGGTGGGTTAGACATTATAAAAAGGATGGCAGAAAACCATTAAAGAATTTAAATGTAAATTTTAAAGTTTAAAAATTATGGTTTAAATTAGTGTTGTATGTATGAGCACAAAACAATATGTAATGGTCACAAAATTCTTGAGAAAATTATGTAGTGAAAAATAAAACTAGGACTAAATTTTCAGACTGGGTAGAGAAGAAATGTGGGAAGACATACAAGGGTGAGCGCTCCTTAGTGGTGGGAGGAAGAGAAGTTGATAAACACCTCCCTGCCATGCATCTTTTCTCCCTGAGAAAAATCAACTGGTTAAGAACAAGCAGCTCCCGAATCTGTGACTCCTACAAATAACTGCCTAATCAAAGAGAGTTCACCATCTGTACTTCTCAAAGACATCTTAAAATCAGCACATCTTAAAAGAAAATCTTCACCTGCATCCCACCTTTCGTCCCCCAAATCATTTCTCCTGATCCACTATTTGTAAACGGCAGTTACAAAGGTTGAGCAGGTCCTTAAATAGCCATTTGTATTACTGCAAAACGAAGTTTCTAACAATTTAGTTCTATAACCAGTAGCAGCAAAATCACCAAGGTGCTCGTTTAAATATGTACTCTACCAGGTAGGTCCCTTATCAAATGTATCGAATTCTCTAGGGTGGGTCTCAAGAATCTGCATTTTCAAAGAGCACCCCAATTGATATTATATGCCCCCAAATTTGGAAACCATTGCTCTAGGATCATTATTTCAACATGATTCACCAGTAAGGAATGTTAGCTGAAACAGTTCCCTCTTCTGCAAAGATTAAGAAGCCACAAGATACTTATGTTCACAGATAGGAATCAACTGCTATTTCTATACACTTAGGTTTAAGATCCTGTTTTATCTTAATTTCTATATACGAGCTTTCCGCGGTAATCAAAATAATTTACTGGAGAAGCTTCTAACTCTGTTTCATTTTAAAAGAAATTTAAATGTACTGTCTATAGGAAAAATCTGCTAATTGCCTACTCCATCCATTCTCTTCGCCTCCTAAAAATAGCACCCACCCCCACACCAATTTTCTTTTGTAGTCTGAACAGAAAACATTCCCCAGCCTGTCTTGCTGAGTGCTCTGTGATCAAATCTGGCCAATATGATGCAAGCAGAACAGTGAGTAAGTAATTTTTGGGAAATCTCCCTTGGAGTCTCAGAGGTAAATAAGAGTGGCAGAAATCAAATTTTGCAGTCTAAATCTAAAGCCCATGTCTTCCCAACTCTAAGCTGTCTTCCTAGGTCAAATCCTTTTGCACAAGTACTCTAAGTGCACAATTATAAAAATGCTTCAGGAGTTTCGAGGGGGAAATTCATTTTATTTCTCATAAATAGCAAGTGAATAATGTTCAAACGGTTATTTAAAAGCTGCTTCAAACTCCAAACACATTTTCCCATAAACTTAATGTTTAACATTAGTGACTACAGACCCTTGCCAGTTCTTAAGACTGCTTAATTATAAATGTAGAACTCACTGAGCTTTGATGAACACGACTCAATGATCTTTATCACCTGAGGAGTATGAAGAATAGGCAGGAAGCAAATTCAGAGTAAGGGTTACCCTTGGGAAGGAAAAAGGAAACGATTCAAATGTGGCATCACAGGCCTTCAAGGATGTTTGTCAAGTTCTGTTTCTTAACAAACTAAGTGGTTTGTTTCCTTCAGAGTAAAGTTCTTAAACTCAAAATGTAATATTAAAAGGTATTAAAGAATACCCACCCATGCATACCACACCAGTAATAAAAAGACCCTACACACAAAAATATTACTGTACTCTTACCCTACGCATGGCTTCCTCCTCTTCTTGACGCTTTTCATAATGTGCAAAGTCATCAAAGATTGAGGTGGTATGCTTGAAAGTAGCAATTATTTTAAGCACTTGCTTAGCTTTTTCTAGGGGTACCTCTTGAGTGTCCCTTGAATTGGTAACTGGTTTGTTGTCATTATTTTCTAAGCGAATATGCCGCAACTGATTATTGGGAACATCTTTGACAAAGATCCATTTAACTTCAAATTTGCCCTTCCACTTATCCTGAGACCAGACACCAGCATATGCATTATAGTCCACAACAGACTTCATTTCAGCCACTCCACAAAAATGTCCACTGCCATTCACACTGAAGAGTAAATAGAGTGGGCCTTTCCCATTCAAGGAACGGTAAGCTGCATCCAAACGCTTGTTACCATGCTCAGTACTACACCAGATAGAGTACTTAATGGAACGGTGAATGTCATCCTCAGAATAGCTCTTAATTATAAACACGCGTCCATTCTTCAGGTTCCAGTCAAAGTCTTTGGGATTATAGTTGTTTATGGCCTTTAGCTTTTCCAGCACTGGATGCACTTCCACACTAGAAGGTGAAGCGCTTACAGGAACGACACCTAAACCAAAGTTTTCACCGCCTGCTCCATTGTTCTGGTTGAAGCCAGCTCCCCTGTTCCGAGGCGCTACCCAGCGGTTTTGCAGCTGTTGCTGTTGGGGCTGCACTTGGTGAGGCTGGGCCTGTGGCTGAGGTCCTTGTTGCTGCTGTGGTTGTGGTGGCTGAGGCTGCTGTTGAGGCAGTTGGCTTTGCACCAATGGTGGTGGTTGAATTAATGGCTGAGGCTGCTGGATTATAGTTTGAGGAGGCAGAACTGGTTGGGTTGGTGGAGCCTTTACCACAGACCCCTTTTCGTCCCAAGTTCCAATATTCATGTTGTGTTTTATAGGAGGTGGTGGCACAGCAGAACCCCCAATTCCAACATTGCCCTTGGGTTTAAGTTTCGGCTGAGGTTTGGCGGGCTTTCTGGCAATGGCAGCCCAGGAGGTTGGTTTAGGTGCTGCACTGCTAACTGGGGGCACACTATTGGTGGCAATGCTCGTCATACCACTGCTGCTCAAGGCTGTACCTACAGTTTTTGTCACTGCAGCTGTCAGGTCACCACCAATTTTCAGTCCGGTCATGCCTTGCTCAATACTGCTAATGCCGGGCACCTTACTCAAAGTATCACTGCCAAATCCAGCCTGTCCATCAGTAATAGCTCTCCCAAGAGAACTAGGTGGATAGCCATAATTGCTACTATAAGCAGAACTTTGTGTTGATTGTCCCTGAGATCCACTTGTCCCCCATGTAGAGAAATCAGCATTACCAGGAAAAAAGTTAAATCCATGCTGACCAAGAAATGGAGGGGTATTTCCTAATGCCCCAGGTTGACCAAACACACCATCTGGTATATAATGATGTTCTCCATTACTCATTTGTCCATAGGTTGTCAGATATGGCATAGGTTGGTCTCCAGCCGTGGACCATGCTGCTTCCCCAAGAGAATATGGAAATCCAATGGATGCAGCATAGTAACTAGGCATGTATGGATCTGACATTGGCGGATAGCTGTTACTCTGGAAAACAAAAGATCATAATCAGGTATGAAATGTCCTCTGAAGAGTAGGAGAGAGAAAAAGACATCTGAAAGATTAAAATCAAAGTTTTGAACAAATGAAAAACAGATCTACGTGTTCCAAATAAACAGAATTAAAAATTCAAATCCAATTTTATCAACACAAAAACTTGCTGATGAGTATTTTAACACATTTGTTTATAAAACTGCAGAGTTTAACTGAGGGGGTGGGGACGATGGGGATCATTCTTGTTTAAATAGCCTGGTCCTCTAGTATAATTTACAAATACTGTAATTTCTATAAAAAGTCAATTTATAAATTTTGCAGAGACAAACTGATCATTTACAGCCAGCCAGCTTTAATTTAAGCAACTGATGTATCTGAAAATGTATATGTAAGAATTAAACAAACCTGGAAGCTATGTCAATGATAAATTATAGTATACCTATATTATCCAGTTCAGCAATTAAATTTTGTACTTTCATTAAGAAAAAACAGAGAAATGCTCACACTGAGAGGGAAAATATTTCAATATTATACCTACAGCATTATCTAAATTTATTTTGTTTTGCCTTGCTCATTTTGAAAAAGAAACAAAATCCTTACTAGTTTGTTAATGGTGCCTCTTTTTTTTTTGTTCTCAATTTAGTCATATTCTTTATACTAATTATTAACTATATTTGGAAAATATTCAAATAATGCTAATATTAGTATAAAAGGAATGAAGAGCACCTCTGGAACCACCACAGTAGTGGCTGCTATGAGATACAAATACAAGAGAAGCCCAAGGGAAGCTCAAAATCACCAACAATGGTTTTCAAGGAAAAAAATTCTTGAAATTAATGTGTAAAATTTACTAGCCATGAAAATATACATATACATACACACACTAATGTATAATTCGATCACTAAATTTGCCAAAAAGTACTCAGTGTTCTTCATTCTGACAAGTCACTGTGATATAATTCTAAAAAGCTTAATAAAAATAAAGTTGTCAGTATAAACGAACATATATAATAGATTAAGTTTTTAAATTGTCTTTTTAAAATTTACAGTTACTAAAGGTATCTTTTTATACTTTACTGTTTTACCTAAACACTTATTAAATGTCTAAATTGTGGAAAACATCGATATGATTCTTTCTTTTAAAAGAAAACCTATACTTAAAAAGACATGACACAGGGAGGTGAATAAATCTCACAAAGGGGAAGAACAGGAGAGCTGGTAATCAGTTTCAAAGTTTTAATTTAGAATGTTGGCACTGAAATATGTACTCAGTGAGTCCTTATCTGGATATGGGAGTGGAAAAGCAGACCAGGTAGAAAGTTTTAAGTTTATTCTTCAAAATAAGTGTTTGTAAAATTATACTCATAACTTATTTTGAATATTCTTATTTCGCCATCACAAACGCTGAATTTTGCACAACAGTTACACATCAAGTTCCTAATTTATCTCTATTCATAGTGTGATGCAGGGGTTAGCAAACTAAAGGGCCAAATAGCAAATATTTAAACTTTGCGAACCAAATATAGTTTCTGGTAGCTGTCGCATGTTCATCTTTAAAAAAAAAAAACACCATCTTTAAAAGGCTGCTAACTCAAGGGTTTTTCTCAAAGAAAACAGGGCATGGACTGGATTTAGTCCCTGGACCGGTCTGTCAACGCTGCTTTAACTGATTATGTAACTCGTACCAATTCTGAAAAAATAGAAAGCCCCCAACCTATACTACTAAGATTAATGGGGAACAAATTTTTGCAAATTCTGTCACCTCTGGGGCAGGAACAGGCCCGAACCCCTTTGGACTTGAAGGCTTTATTAGATATCTTTTCGATTTTTTTTAAATCATGATTTTTACTACTTCATCGCAAATTAGTGGTTTTGTCAAAATACTAACTTCAAGTAACTTTTAAAACATGTTCCATTAGTCACAACTGCCTATGAAACAGACAGCTCACACTGATGAGCAGGGATGGGTTACTGTCTCTGACTGCAGAGTTGTCCACAGTGTTAGCACACCACGTAGAATCCTTGAGCATAATGGATAAATGGCCTGCTTTCTCCAATTTATCAAACAACGCTAACCATTTATTTTCCCATTCTTTCAGTAGTTTTAGCTGAATGGGGTTTTTTTTTTTCCTTAGCTCTATGAAAGTAACTTAAGCAGTCTCCTTTCAAAAGGCAACAAGGCTTCGGTTTCAGTTCTAGTAAGAACAAAGCTGTAGGAAGCACCTCAAAGTTTAAAAAAAGAAGTGGTCAACACATTCTGAATGAGTAGAGCTTTGATTATAATTGGAAATATTTTTAAATGTTTTCCTAAATTTTAAGATAAATTTTTAATTGCTAAGTGGAATATTAATTAAAGGAATGCAACTTGGTAATAAAGAGGAACAGGATTTCCAGTTACTAATGATGGAAAATAACTCAAAACTTACTTTTACCTTTTACTTCGAACCTGGTTTTGAGACATTATCATAATTTCACAATTTATATAAAATAATCGCTTTAAAATAGTTTATTCATAATTCAAAACTTAGTAATAGTGAAATTTTACTATGTTTAAAGATATATATATGACCTTTAAGTAAAGTGATGTGAAATTTTTGGTATTTCCCTCATATTCAAAAACCTAATAGGAAGGGGAAAACAGTTACACATATAAAAAGCGATAATCAATGGACATAATAAATATAATATTTGTAAGAACAGATGCACATACCCTTTCTTTACCCACAGCATAAACTTAGAAACACAACCTGAAGGGGCCATTTAATATAAGTTGAAGTGAAACCATGAGGTATCTAAATTCTAATCCCAACCCAGGACTTATCAGCTATGTGAAAGCAGCCAGTAGCCAAGTTATAGCTCTCAACTGTTTTCTCATCTACTAAAAGGAAATAAAGATACAGTGCCTAGGCTAAGTTTTCAATCAACAAGTTACATTTATTAACACGACTTGCCTCTTTAAAATGTTAAGTTAATCAGCAAGCATATAGTATAATAATTTCAAAGTTAGTCCAGATCTTAAGAGTATAAAGTCATGGCACGATACAGTAGGCAAGAATATGGGCTCAATTCTGTACTCTTTCGCTTTTTGTCAGTGATCTCATCAGATCATTTAATTTTTCTAACTCTGTTTCTTCACTGGTCAAATGGGGATAATATCTACTGCTTTAATAAATTGTAAAGATTTTTTAAAATCTACTTTGTTCATTGCAAAGTGCTATATAGAAGTATAGAAATTAAACCTTTACATTAAGTTTTTATTTGAAAACTAAAACATTAAATGTTCTTCCCTAGAATTTCAAAATCATTTATAATTATTATCCCTTAGCCTAGTGATGTAGGTCAATTGTTTTTCTCTTATCTCAAAGAAACTTGAATAATAATAAAAAATTCATGATCACTGTTCTGACCTAAAGATATTTTAATAAAACTCGATTATAACTGACAATCTTTCAGTTATAGTAACAATATCCATTTTTACTTCACAAATCCAAACTTCCAAGAAAAAACACTGCACAATTTCTTAGACGTTCAATTAAAAAAAAAAGTGAGGCATTATAAGATTATGAAGTACTTCAAACTCTAGAGTTCAATTCTGAATTAAAAACAAAAAGTTTGGTATACTTTTAATGCTTATCTGTATGTTCCTCTAACATTTAAAAATATTACTGTACTTTTCAGAAAATATAATTTATGCATCTCTAATAAGAATGTCACAAATCTATTAGACATCAGACTCAACTTGAATATTTCATCAACCATAATTCTTCATTCCCTAATTCTAGAAGATAACTTAATCCATTCATTCAATAAATACTCAAAGAATGCCTACTATGTGCCAGATCACAGCACCAAGCACTGAAGAAATAGATGAAGAACATGGTCTCTGACCTGAAGGATTTCACAGGTCTAGTGGGGAAGACAGATTTACCCTATAATTTTATAGGTATTGTAATGGAAGTACAAAGCAAAACAAACCCTCTAGTTAAAAAAGAAGGATGCAAGTAATGGGGGGAATCAGAAAAGACTTCATGAATTGATAGACATGTGAGTCTGTGTGTGTAAATAGTACATATTGAAAACATGAAAAAAAAATATTTATATTTTCAAAAAATAATGGTAAGTCCCATTTCCCTGAGTAAGTCAGATGGAGAAAGTGGACCAAAGATGAGGCAGGGAAGGTGAGCTGTGTTAATTCTTTAACATGACAATGGCGCAATCAGACTTTAAGACTGCTAAGGAGTAATGCAGCATTACCAGTTAGGAAAACAGGCAACAGGAAGACAATGAAAACCTTAAACTAAGGGAAGGGTCACAAAATAACAAAACTCAAAGTATTATTTTACTTTGTTCGTTTTCTATACCTCTTCCCTGATAATCATAGCTAGAAATTTATTTTCCCATATATACAAGCAGACAAACTCCAACTTCATTTTTCCAATTAATTCTTTGAATTTATATAGCACCTTTAATTGTTTCAATGAAACCTGAATTTTCTGATCAATTTAATAATCTGATTATCCTCTGGAACTATAAAGAACTAATTTTAAGACCAAAAGACATTTACTTAAAATTAATATAAAAAATTATCCCCTTTGAAAGTGAGCACCAGAAAATAGAAATACACTGCCACAGAAGGCCAACAACCTGTTTTGAAATATTCCTGGGTTTGATTTGAACTGGACCTAAGTATACAAAACAATTTAACCAAAACAGTAAACATCTTTCCAGATGAAAGATTCATTTCTCTTATTTATAATATTAAAATCAGATAACATTTAAAGTCATAATGTGTATTTAGTTGAAATTTTTTTAAACAATTATTTCAGTTAATTCAGTATGACCTATAGATGCAGAACTTTAAATATGCAAATAATTAGTTAAGATATTTCACCAATAAACCCATTTTCATTAATCTGTTTTCAAAGGTCGATTTTTAATTTTTTATTTCTATTTCAGCTAGGTAATTATGAGTATCTTAAATTCTTACACAACCTACTTTCAGATTTCAGATAATTTTCCATTTTTCTCTCCTCCCAGTTTTCAATATTCTAGTGTTAGTGCTCTTTAAAAAGTAAGTATGTACCCTGACTACAGATAATTATTTTTAATATTACAGAAAGATAATAGCTGAAAACCTATCTATTCATATTGGCAAGGAGAGGGAAGTAAAATACAGCCTTACTGGTATCAAACTTTAACATCTCTTTAGAGAACACATGAATGTATTGATTCAAACATCATAAAATAAAATGATTTAATTAATATAAAGCATAAGACCTTCCATTTAAACATCACATTACAACAAATCCTTTATAGACTTTTTTGCCAACATAAGGAAGCTTTTATGATACAATTTAAAAATTGGGTTCACTAAGGTAAATGCCTCTATATTCTTAAAAAAATAATTTTCCAACACTTTTGAGATTTTTACAAGTGAAACCTTATGCAAAATTCCAACATATAAAACAGATAAAAAGCAGAGCACAGCTCTGGTTGCAGCAGGGGTGGGATCCAGGGTACCCTCCCTTGGTCTCCCCTAAGCAGACCTGAAGCACCTCTGTGGAATGCCAAATAATCATTCTTCTAAGCCCCTGTGACAAATGAATTATAAAATATCTGTTACCAAGTAAAACAAGGATTCTTACAGTAGCAATTCTCAAACATTTATGATCCACTAAAATTACCTGAAAAGAGTTTGAACAAATAAGTCAAAGGATCTGCATACTCTATCCTTATCTTAGAAACTCATTTTATATTTTATATAATAAAGTAAAATCAAATAGCAAATAAAACAATTATTTAGACCAAATAAATCTCCCAAACTCATCTGATCATAAAGACCTGTTTGGGGAGAATATCTACTATACCTCATAAATATCAGAATTTCTCAAAGAAGTTGGAAAACACTGCCATAAAGGATATTAGCTAAGGTTACTGTATGGGCCCAGATATAATACTGTATCTTTCTTTTATGTTGCACTACATTTATAACAAATGATCTTCCCCTATTTTCCAATGATACAGTCTTTCACCACCTTTAAGTGGAAAGTAAATTCGTTATTGTGATCATAAAGTATATTATATAAATATGAAATGAACTTTTTCATTCTTTTAAAAGTAGCCAAGCTTTCATAGATCTTATCACCCATTTTTCCTCTTTATCATTTATTTATTCCCTCCCAACCTATGCCAGGAATGCAGATCAAGAGATAGAAGGGGTGGTTAAGGAAAAACTACCAAGAGAGTAAATCAGGCTGAACATAACCATGGTTCTCCAAAGTCATAAAAATAATTCTACATCCCACAAATTGGAAATGTTTTGTTCACATTTGCTCTACAACTGTAAAGTTCTGTAATAATATTTGGTGCCTGGTTCTTTTATAGTTTAAAAAAACAGAGGCTGAGATTATAAGATACATTTTTTCTTATATCTTTTATTAAGCAAAATGACAAAAGGAGTTTCATTCCAGAATGTTCTCTCTAAAGTAACTGGTTAATAATGGAAGTCTTTTAAATTTATTTCTAGTAGCTACATTTTTACTAACATGCAGAAATGGTATACAGAGACCAAAGAATACCATTTGTTTTTC